CAGCCAAGAGACCTCACAAGCATACTGCAGTCAACTACACCAAGCCTACTTCGAGACAGGAAATGAGCCACGGACGGAGGAGGATTTCACCTTCCAGACCCTCTCTCTCCCAAAAGCCTGCTTTCTGTGGTGAGTCCGCACTCGGGCAATGCCCTGCCCCCACGCCCTGACCACCCAACAGCGGCAGAGTTTAGCTCATAAAAACTGTGTAAAACCAAGACTGCTTTGAAAGACTTTCAAACACCTACGAGCTACCCTGTTTTAGAATCTCATCCGGAACTGACTTTAAAAGGCACGCTACTGTTTTCCAGCCGCAAGACTTCCAAACAGTGAGTTAAAGCCTTTCTCCGCCAGCAGAGGACAGCACCGCCAGGAAGGCGCATGTCCCCACACCAGACAGGATGCTCAGAGACACACTGGGACAAGCCACTCTCCACAAGCAGCCCAAAAGGAGCCTAACAGCAACCAAGGAATGACCAACCAGCAGTAGCTAGGAGCTCAAACAACCAGCATCCAGCTAGTTACACGCCAGAGAAAGCCAAAGGTGAAAACCAGACTCCTTATGACTAGAGGGGGTCCAAAACCATTTACCCCCCTGAACACCTGCTTTCTGCTCCATCCCCGCAGAGTACTGCGAGTCCAACACAAACTAAAGACTGTGTATCTAACTGCAGCATCACGCTTCCCCCAAAAAGCAGCCAGTGCCACCATGCTTGCAACCTCAGGTACCAGAAAACACTGGTCTGGTTGTCTGTTTACCTCCTGAGCCACAGCCCACCAACCAGCCACACCTGCGTACAAACAACTGCTCAGGCCCCTGCACTTCAACTCTTGGGGAACCTGACCAAAATGGCGTGGCAACAACGCGCTACTTGGCTGTAACCGTGGAGAGGAAAGAAAGATGAAAAACACGCGTCAGCATGGGAGCAGACCTCACAATAATGTCATCTTTCCTGTTTGAGTAACTCAAAGCAAGAGCTCAGAGACTAAAACGAACACTTAAATGCCAACCAGGCAGGCTGATGGTGCAAATCATACAGCAAAAGTGAGGTTCAACTCATCGCTGCCATTCAAGTAACTACTGTCCCCATGACTGCAGTGCACCCCGTGTACCCGTCGCCAATGGGCACATACCTGCTGATGAATGGTAAAGATCCGCTGGATAAATGTGAACCTCTTTTGAACTTTGAACCCCTTTAAAATCTGGGCCCAAGTGCGAGAACTCTCTCACAGCTGTCAGGTCAACCCCAACAGACTGTCAGGTCACCGAGGTCGCGGGAAACTGCTGGAACCCGCGAGAACCCAAACTCAACAACATAGACGGGGTCAAGGTCGCTACCCTGCAGCCTTCAAACCAGCTAGCAACCCCAACGCTTGCTGCCCCAGGCCTCAAAGGGCTTCACGTTGAATAACCGGACTGTGAAGGACACTGTACTTGCACTGTAAGCAGACAACCCAGCAGCCATCAGCCTCGCACGGTGCGACACTCCGCCTGAACACACCCCCAGACCTGTGTTCAACTAACAAGCATACACACTACTGTCCAAATGCTAAACTCTCACACATGACAACTGCCAACAGCATTTGCACATTGAACTTGAATCGGAACGGCGGATTGACCCATCCCGTCCTAACTCTCACGGCCCTGCCGCACGATGTTCACATCAGAGCTAATAGCCTGATATATCTTCAGGCATATATATAGACACCTTTAACGACCGGTGACTCAAACTGCTCAAGGCTGGGCTATAATGCTCAGGTTTCATCTTTTGGGTAGAGACTAGGCGTGTAAAGATACACAAAAGGCACGGTTCGGTTCGGTTCAGGGTTTTGGAGCCACAAGAACATCTTACCTTTTTCTTTATTAACTTTGTCATCGCATTTTTAGTACAGTCAGGATACCCGAGTAAACAACTAGAATTAAATAAATACCTCCAATATAGACTAGTCAGAAAAAAAAACTATTCTCTTTAGTGCAGCCATCTTAACTAAGTAAACTAAAATTAAATAAATAACTGCAGTGTAGAATAGTGAAAGATCTTCTTCAAAAACACCATAATATCCACATTCTCCGATGAGAGGCTTGATCTCTGTGCAGACACAGACGCTCATTTTTAATTATATGGTTTCATTTAGATTAGATAGGTTTCCGTTTAAATTAATGAAAAATATACATATACTGTGTTTGTAAAGTGTTTTTTCATGACATATTCACTAGTAAAATACATTGCGGTTCTGTCTGAAACTAATGTTAGGGTTGTAGCCGGCTATATGTTTGCCTCCCGATCTCTCTCTCTCTCTCTCCCGCTCCCTCTATGCCGGTCATTTATTTACTGAAGGTGCGCCTTCACGACAGCTGATGCCTGTCATTTCTGTAGGTCCGCCTTTTTGACAGCTGATTGGTCAGGAGAGCGATCTATCATCATTTGGCGAAACAGCGCGGGAATGCAAAAAGCATGTCAGGAAGAGCGGGAGAGAGAGCGCTTTTTCCTTTGATCTCGTTTTTCGTGTATTTTTCTGACATGATTATGATTTTCGTTGTTTTTGCTTAACTTTCGTTTGGGTAAAATTATTTTGCATTACTTTTGCCCACTTTAAGAAATTTTGTGAGGTTTGTACATTTTTATTTCAATTGATTTGTATATTATTTTTTAGCTCCGCTCCTTCCCGACAATATAGCTGCATCTCCTTAAGTTCAGTCTTAGTGTAAGGTGGATAGGGAAAATGTCATACGATTTCCATTTTGCAAACACGTAGAAAATGTATTGTTAAAGACATCAGGTAAGAGGTGAAGGTCATCTTTGTTTATTTTATTCAGTATAGGGAAGAATGCGGCACACGGCGCTAAAGACCTTTTTTTCTTTTCATAAGTATTAGCGAGATAAGGGGTTATTCATGAGTTGTTTTATTATATTTATATTTATATTTATATTTATATTTATATTATATTTATTTCTTTTGTTTGTCTTCACTATCACCCCCTTGCTCGAGTTTAACAAATTTTTGTTTGATACTTTTGTTTGAATTTGTTACTTTATTATATTATTTTTATTAGTGTAAATATTTCTCTTTTTTTGTATATTTGGGCATTATTCTGGTTTTACTTTTGTACATTAAATCACTTTTGTTGGCAGTTCTGTTGCTTACACCCTCACATTGTGAAATTACCCCACTTTTTAAATGTTTTTCCTTACAAGTAAGTTTCGTGAAACAGTTGAGACAGACAGGCGTGCGCTTTGTCTACAAAACAAATTCTATTCCTGTACTCAACTGGAAAACCAAAATTTTTCCACACAGATGACTTAAATGTGTCTGGGGGATCTGCAATCTCAGTACTATGTGAAGCAGCCATCCTGCGTCCGGTAGTAAGGAGTGTGATGCTTACTCAAGTCACATGACATAACATGCACTAAAATACTAACTTTAGAATATAATAATTAGAGCAAATTCTCATCGATACTAAAACAATTTAATCAAATATTAGAATAAAGATACATTTAAATTGGTTCAATTAGTTAGAGACAAGTGACGTCAACCTTAACAATGGGCAGCAGGGGGCGTGAGAGTACCGCGGTACACCACGAGAGTTTCGCGATACGTATCGTGGTTGGTGTATCGCGATATTTCGGTTCGGTTTTAATATCGTTACACCCCTAGTAGAGGCTCAATAATATCCATCTGCACAGATTGACTTCACATTAGATCGGCGCGTGTGTGTATGTGTGTCTGTGCGTGTGTATGTGTGTGTGTGTGTGGCTTTTTTTCTGTGTTAGTGGGGGGGGGCCGCAGGTTTCAAATCTCCTGGGTTTGTAAGCGCAACTACTTGTGTTTCGTGGATACGTCATTGCGAAACACCTAATGACTCGTTATCAAGACGACTCGTTTGAAGCACTATGAGTCAACTCTTTTATAGATGAACAGTTTTAAACACTGTACACTTACAGATTTAAGCCTTAGCTGGATATTTCACTTCACTTATTCATTTTCAAAAACCCATAATATGGGCTCTTTAACTTCTAAAAACATAGCTCATTGTCTTAGAGATTTCAAAGTCATACAAAGATCAAACATAACTCCTAATATGCAGTTTAAAATGAAATGGCAGTCAAACTACAGTTGTCATATCTTCAGGTACTTTTCTCCATATGTTTTGGAATGTCCAATTGTTGTCGAACTGTGGTCTCAAGTACATTCAGTTGTTTTTTTTTTTTTTTTTTTTTTTAACCACAATTTGAATATGTGTCTAATTCTGGTTTATGTCTTCTCAGTCATAATTTTAATTCTTGTATAAGCACACTAAAGAAAAGAATGTTATTTGATGGTTTTACATTTTGGATTCATAGCCTCATTAAAATAGTGACTTGTGAAGATACAATAGCACAAATTAATAAGGCAAACCCTAATAAGGCAAAACCTTTTTCTTCCAACATGTTAGACTATATAAAGGAAAGCCCATTTAAAGTTGTGTTTTTCCCCTCTTCTTTAAGATTAAAAACAATGTTGATGTTGCCCCACTTTCCTGTTTGTTTGTTTGTTTGTTTGAATGTTTGTTATTTTGATAATCTAAAGACAATAAAACATTGATCACAAACACAAAAATGAAAAGAAATTGAGACTCCTCAGACCAGCAACGTTTTTCCAATCTTTTATTGTTCAGTTTTGGTGAACCTGTGCAAATTGCAGCCTCAGTTTCTTGTTCTTAGCAGACAGGTGTGGCACCCGTTGTGGTCTTCTGCTGTGTAGCCCATCTGCCTCAAGGCAGACCTCTGACGTTTACAAGGCATTTGCACCCACAGAACTGCTGCTCACTGGATATTTTCTATTTTTCTAACCATTCTCTGTAAACCATAGCGATGGTTGTTTGTGAAATTCCCAGTAGATCAGCAGTTTCTGAAATACTCAGACCAGCCCATCTGGCACCAATGACCATGCTACGTTCAAAGTCACTTTCATTATATGTCATCAAAGTCTTCTCACTATATGTATGTGTTGACCCTCAGGTTTTGTCAGTGCCTCACAGAAGACTGGTGTGCTGTAGTCGGCTGTTTGAAGTGACTGACATCAACAAAGCCCAGAAGCAAGCGGCTCACCAGAGAGAGGTTTTCCTTTTCAATGACCTACTTGTGGTAGGCACATTTAATTTTATAGATTTTTTGTTATTTATTATTTTAGACTTTTGTTATTTCCTGTCCTTTATTCAATATTGATAGTGTAAATGAGGAAAAACAGATGACACGGTATCAAAATGCAAACCCAGAAATATGATGCAGCCATTGTACCTCGGGTGTAATTTTACAGAGTAAAGACATACTTTAGCTGTGCAGTTATCTGAAAACTTCGCACCTAAGAATGTGTCAGCTAACCACAGCATTAGAAAAGAAAAAAAAAACTCAATGGGGGCTAATATATACAGTTGGAGTCATAATTATTAGCCCCCCTGCTTATTTTTTCCCCAATTTCTGTTTATCGGAGAGAAGATATTTTTCAACAATTTCTAAACCTAATAGTGTTAACAACTAATTTATAAAAAAATATATTTTATCTTTGCCATGATGACAGTATATAATATTTTACTAGATATTTTTCAAGATACTTCAATACAGCTTTAAGTGGCATTTAAAGACCAAGTGGTGCTCGCTTCAGCCATTTGGGCGAGCTAAGCTCCAGCGAGGGGGAGCTTGAGCTCCACCTTTTTTGCACTTCTTCTACGAGTGATGTCACTGGGGGTAGGGTAAGGGGTGGTGTTGGTGTACGCATTAAAACAGCTTACAGGAGGAGGAGCGAGAGCTCATGCTCCCCCTCGCTGGAGCTCAGCTCTGCTCAAATGGCTCTGCAGCGAGCACCCTCTCTTTAAAGAAGTTAAACTAAGTGGCATTTAAAGAACTAACTTTATATATATATATATAATATATCTATATATATATATTTTATATATATTTTATATATATATATATATATATATATATATATATATATATATATAGAGAGAGAGAGAGAGAGAGAGAGAGAGAGAGAGAGAGAGAGAGAGAGAGAGTTTAAGTCAGAATTATTAGCCTCCCTTTGAATTTTTTTTATATATTTTTTTTTTAATAAAATATTTAAAATATTTCTATTTTAAATGATGTTTAGCAGAGCAAGGACATTTTCACAGTATGTCTGATCATATATTTTCTTCTGAAGAAAGCCTTTTTTGTCTTATTTTGGCAAGAATATAGCAGAATAGCAGCTTTTAATAAAAACAAAAAAAACATTTTAAGGACAAAATTACTAGCCCCTTTGCGCTATATATATTTTCGATAGTCTACAGAACAAACCATCGTTACACAAAAACTTGCCCAATTACCCTAACCTACCTAATTAAGTTAAGCCTTTAAATGTCACTTTAAGCTGTATAGAAGTGTCTTGAAAAATATCTAGTAAAATATTATTTACTGTCATCATGGCAATGATAAAATAAATCAGTTATTAGAGATGAGTTATGCCTAGTTCAGACTGCATGATTTAAGCCCAATTTTGACTCGCCGACAGGTTTTGAGTAATCGCCGACAAATGCCTAAAATCACAGGCAAATCGGTGCTTGTGCACGTGAGTGACAATCACACAGTATGAACTATCAAAGACATGATCTGAGAGAATCGCAGATGAGTCGCCGGTGCCTGTGAGATATTTGGCGTGCTAAATATCTGGAGCTGTCGGCGATTTAAATCATGCTGTGTGAAATGAGTTTTGACTGAAAATAACATCAGTGATCACCTACAGCCAATGAAAGAGCAGCATTTACTTGTGTGTGTGTGTACCTGCTGGCCAGCGGGAGGTTGGGGGAGAAGTTAAAAGCGCTCCTTTTTTTAGTTTTTTTGGACCCAAGAAATAGAGGAAAAACTAGAGGAGGTTTGACAGAAGCACCCAAGTCTGTTTGACGTTTCATACAGACAGTTAAAAAAGAAAGTTGAGGAGAAATTGCTAATTCCCTTCAAACACAGGTGAGCAAATATGAACATTTTCTAACATATTAAAGGCTTCTTTCTCATGTAGTTAATCACAAAAGATATACTAAGTGTTTTTGGTTGTAGTTTGGACAAAGTTGTCGGTGATTCTTCCTATTGTAAAGCCATGCAATGTGAAAGCCCTGTCGGCAATTCATCTTGCAGTGTTAACAAAGCAGCGACAAAACGCTAGCCCTGATAGTCGTACAGTGTGAAAACATCTGTGATACTACTTTGAAAATCATGCAGTCTGAACTCAGCATTAGTAGAACTATTATGTTTAGAAATGCGCTGAAAAAATCTTCGCTCTTTCAAACAGACATTGCGGAAAACATAAACAGTGGAGCTAATAATTCAGGTCAGTCTGACTTCAACTATACACACACACACACACACACACATTACTGTTTAATTTGACAGTGCATAAAATTTACTGGATATTTTTTTCTAGATACTATTCAGCGTAAAGTGCAATTAAAAGGCTTAACTAGGATAATTAGGTTTACTAGGCTAGTTTGGTAAAATTTTGCAAATCACAGTGGTTTGTTCTGTAGACAATCAGAAAAAAAAATGCTAAAAAATTAACAACTGATTTTATTCCAACTGAAAGCAAACAAATAAGACTTTCTCCAGAAGAAATGAAATCTATAAGAATTATATAAGAGGGCTAATAATTAGATTTTCCTTTGGACTGATTTTTAACTGGATTACAATTCTCAGTGTAAATGCACCCAATAAACTCAATTATCATATCTGTGTTTTTTTCTTTACAGATTTTGAAATTGTGTCCAAAAAAAAAGAGTTCAGCTGCATACACCTTCTGCAAGACCATGGGACTGCTGGGCATGCAGTTCCACCTGTTTGAGAACGAATGTAAGTTCCAACAGTTTTTTTATAGAATTATTTTTGAGTTTTTCTATCCTCCAAAATGGATAGAATATTTGTAATGTATAGAACAGTGGAGAATACTGTCAGAGAATTGTAGGAAGCAGAAAAAGGGGAATGATCAGCAAAGGACCTAGAGCCACAAATTGAACACAGGTCACTATGAGCACCTATGATCTGGGACTACTGTGTAGGTGGTGCATGATGGGATATGTCATTGTAATCTGTCAGTGTTTGCCACTGAAAAAGCCAGATCGCTGGTGACCATAACATTCCCAGATATTTACTATAAAAGCTTATTAGAAAAAACTTGCCTCATCCTACATTTACTTGTGCCCTATACAGTCTTAATAAACACTGGGTGCCTTTTAATCTGAAGGGACGATTTTTCTGAAGTTTAATTTAAATCAGGAGTAGGCCTTAATCTAGACTGCTGAATCATGGCTTTAAAAATTACTTTCTTAACCACAGATTATATACAGATTAATAAAACCTAGACTGCCGAGACCTGGACTAAAATAAACTTGATGGGTTGCCTAACAAATATGGCTGAACCATGAAACATTTAGAAATATGCAACTGAAAAGCAAATGGAAAGCAAATCCAGCAATAAACATGTATTTCAATTGTGGTTCCTGCAACACATATTAGAAAAAGTTGGAACAGTAAAACATTTATCATTATGAAATGCTGCCATTCCTTTTTACAACACTTAAAAGAAGTTTAGGGGCTGAAGAAAATGAGTGATGAAATGTTTCAGATGTAATTTTGTCCTAGTCTTCTTGCAAACAAGTCTTAATGTGAGCTCCAGTTTGGGGTGTTGTTGCTTTATGGCTTCAAAACGCACCACACTTTCTCTGTTGGAGACAAGTCAGCACTACAGTCTAATATGCCAATGGTGTTGTAAGAACTGTACTGCACTGCACTGTTCCAATGGGTTTGTTCAACATCTTCAAGAATATTTGTCCTTTTTTCAGAGATGTTTTTTGTATTTAAGTAATTTTTTATTAGAATTTTAAGAGTTTATTTGCAAAAACGAGTAGCAAAAAAAAAATAACTGCACTAAAATTAACAGTACAACAGTAGTAGCCTATGTTAACTTTGCAAAGTTCAATGCAACTGCAAAGTAGCAGTATAATAAGGTATAAGCACAGCTCAACAACAATATATTAAAGTTCAATAGAAGTAAAATCTGCAGTGTAACTGAAGTAACATTAAATAAACTGAGAGGGGCAATATAGTGATATGTTATATAATTTGTTGCACTTAGGTACATAAGTATTTAAAGTGCACTTTAGGTTTATTATGTATTGTAACATTGTAGATGTATTTCTGTATTTTGTTATACTTCTTAAAAGTGTAAAACTATATTGTGGTAGTACTTCAGCAATACAACTGAAGTGCTTAAACCTCATTTGGAAACCATTGTCCACCAAGCAGGAAAAGTAGTAGTTGTACTGCAGTTGTATTGCAATAGCGATTTGGCATTTTTTACTGTAGTAGTACTTTAGTTGTATTGCAGTAGATGGGTAACACTTTATAATAACTACACACTATGAACCATTTATTAAGCATTAATTCATTATAATAAGCATTGTAGGGTCCAGCCAGTTGGTCCAATGGCGGTATCCAATGGTGGATGAAGGTTCACTGCATGTTCGGTCTTTCCAGTGCACAATGTTGATTTATATTAAACTTAGCTCATATCTGACTCCAATTTTAGTATGAGGTGGTTTAGAATATTAATATATTTATCCTCTTTTTATCTGACTCCAATTATAAAACATTGAGAAGGTTATTTTGTTTCCGTTCACATTAATTTAGATTATGATTGAATATTCTTTTGATTTGTTATTATACCTTATTCTCATTTACACAGATTCCTATAGCATCCCGAGTCTTGCACCGGCCGGGTATAAAATCTCTTAATACAAGCTTGTCAGTCTTGGTCATTAAACAGAGGCGATTAACCACTCTCCTAAAAAGGCAAAACCCTACTTAATCAATATAGGAGATTTTTATGTGGTCCCCATAGATCTGTTATCTACTTAATCAAGACAAAGTATTTTAATAATAATCGCACAGGATTATAAGTTTGTAGATGAAGGCCTAAATATCCACATTTAAAGTAGTTTCAACAATATTTTGTTGTTCTAAATAGTTGGCCTTTTACAGTCCAAGTATACTTGAAATAATGCCAATTTGTTAGTCGGATCTCTAATAACATTATATAGCGTGCCACGCTGCTCCGTCTAACATGTTTTAGTCCGTTACTAACCTGTACAGTGGCTTGTAGTGCTATGGACAACAACATTTATCAGTGATAATAACACGAGGTTTGAATAATTCAAAACATAATTTATTAGTCAGGTAAATGTATTATGCCAATTCAATCAGTCAATTCATAAACGATCAATACAAAACATCAAATTATCAAAGACAAATCCAAGATGAAAAAGATGCATTCCTGACTTTGAAATATACATAACATGAAGCAAGCCATGATATGGGCTGATCTGGGGCCTGTTTCAGAAAGAAGGTTAACTGAAAACTCAGAGTATTTTAACCCTGAAATGAGAGAAACTCTGGGTTTTCCGTTTCAAAATGGCAGGTTTGTTAAACTCGAGAAATCAGGGTAAGTCAAGCCTGTTTCTGAAAGAGAGTTAACTTTAACTCAGAGTCAGTTACTGTGGTAACTTACTCTGTGAATCTAACCTGGTCAGAAGCAGGTTTTATTCTCTAAACTCAGTTTCTGTCTGTCTCTTCCCCTTTTTTTAAAGATGAAGCGGTATTTCTCGCCTTAGCCTTACGTTTCCACCCACCTATTTTAATGCTCATTTTGGATACGTGCATAAAAACGATTTATAGAAACGTCATGATGCACATAACTTTTTAAAATATGCATAAAAAACGCACATAACTGAGTAGGATAAACTTTTATTCGATAGAAAATGTGCGCATAAACTACGATGGAAACATTTTTACTGAACAAATTACAGTATGTACATAAAAAAAAAAGATCATGATCATATGATAATGAAAATGTGTGTAAATGAACAAACCAGCAGGCTGGGCACACTGTAACACGTCTTAAATATTGTTTTAGTCATTCTAAAATGCCTTAACTGTTTCAGTATTAGTGTATATTATTAATTACCTCCGAACGTCTGATGCGTGTCAAGAGTCTCCGCGTCTCATGGCTTCAGACGCCCCCATGTGTTCATTGTGTTTCAGCATTGTCTTCTGACATCGAGGCGCAAGTACATTAATTAGGCTAAATAAAGAATTAATTGACGCAGCTTCTTCTTCTACCACAGTAAATTCTGTTTTTACTGTTGATATTTCGAGCCAGTTAAATCAGGAAGTGACAATTTTTTTCTCTTTGACTCGTTGGATGGAATTTTATTCGCATCTTTTATGCAATATTCCAGTTTTGCACATACATTTATATAATATATTTGGATGGAAAATAGCTATTGCCTACATTTTTGTCACACACAGAAGAACTGTACTAGAATGGCTTATGCTTTTTTAATAAATAATTAAATTGAATTCACCTTCGATATGCACTGTAACTAGATTAATGGGATTATTATTCTTTCTAAAAATTATTTTTAGTACTGCTTACCTTCTAAATGTTATATTAACCTCTATCACTTGATCAATAAAAAAAGGCAGACACACAAGTGCACTGTTAAATCATTTAAAACTAATAAATGTATAAAAGAAAGTTTAGAAAAAATATATAAACGTCACAAATTACATTACTTATTTTATTATACTTAAATATTTAAATACTTAAAAAGTTAAATTAGGCATTATCTTGAGCAGCTGTTTTCCCACGCTAACTGGTTGATGGCTGCTTCTTTTCAAATATATACACTCATATTTGCTATAACTTTGCATGAGAACATCAAGTTCAGCTGGAGAAAGAAATGGTGATCTCTTTTATAAGATATTGCCATAGTCACTCGTAATGTCTGCGCTCCATTGATAATGCCTTTTTATAGTCACGGTGCGCGCGCTTAACTCTGAGTTGGTCTACTCGAAGTTGATTGACCCAACTCAGATCAGCTGTTCTGAAACCGAAAACTCTGAGTTTTTAATCTCTCGGTAAATCAACTCAGAGTTCAAGTTTAAACTCTGAGTTCTTTGAACCTCCTTACTGAAACAGGCCCCTGGTTAGGCAGAATCACCCTGAGCCTTTCTCAAACCTTACCTTAAATAATCCAAGAATTCCCTCAAGGAAGGGGGTGTGAATAACAAAAGGCATTCACACTTAGTGGAAAAGTCACACCCTTCACAGTGGTTCAAAAGATGCCTGAAGTTATATATTTATTGTTTTGATTATGTCTGTTTCTGAGAGAATGAGACCATTGTACCAGTCGCACTGAGACATTTCAAATGATATCAAACATGATAGTTAAAGCCAGTTTGGTTAATCTAGAACATTCAAACATTGAAATGACCATATGTGTGAGATTGGGTGGATGAAACTGAGGTTCAGCAGACTCAGATGCAAATGAAGCAGGAACTGGTTTTTCCCGCATTCCCACCTGCTGGGTTGTGAAGTCCGTTGGCCCTGTTTTCAGCTTATGTTTTGAATTGTCCAAGATATCAAAATATTTGCAATATTTCAACTCTTACAAGCATTAACTTTACATTAATAAACGTTAGTAAGCAGTTTATTACTGCTGCTAAAAATGCTGTATTCTTGACTTATAACCACATTTATAATGTCCTTAATAATTGTACTTTCATTACTAAATTAAGTATTGAATTATACACAAACCAGTTATTTAAGCATAGTTAGTTTTTTAAGATCATTCAGAATGAGTTATTAAATGATTTATAAACTATTCAAATTAACATTTCTAATTCTTATTATTCAGGCATATACTAATAGTTTATTTGTATGCTAATAAATGCTTTATTAACTCAACTTTATCCAGTTTTGTGAATCTAAAGTGAGGACTATTTATGTTTTATAAACCCCTTTAAATAGCAATTAAAGGCTAAGTTCAATTCTAAACAGGAAAAATTACATAAATGACTTTATTCAATCCTATTCGTTTAA